GGGTGGGCTGCCCTTGAATTTTTTATAAATAAAGTGAAGTTTGTTTTTAATGTTCCCCTTAGATTAGGTTAAACATGCGAACAAAGAAGGAAAACAAATTTGTTTCAAAGTTGGAAACCTCTTGCACTCTGCCACATGAATTGGATTTCCTTCCCAAAAGGCGAATTATTGCCCTCACTAATGTGAGTTTCCTTTCACGTATTCTTAAAGTTTTCACTTTTTTTTACTCATGAAATCCAAACAGTAGTGGAACTTGTTCTGTCACTACAAGAGGGGGGCATTTGGCAGTGATCAACCTACAAGCAGAGTTCGTTTTGAGTAGTTGAACTCTACGACACTGCAACTTAGAGACTGCAACATTCAACTAAGTGTGCCGATGAAGCCAGAATTTCGATGGTTTTCCGAATGCAATCAAATCAGATCTCATCACCCCAATAGGATGCATCGAAATTACTTCCTAGAACTCTCATCTTTACTTGTCTTTAAATGGATACTAACACTTGAGGGCACTTCATTTAAAATTATAATATCATTAATATTGATCGATATCCTATTTGTTTCACTGTTCAAAAGATGTTGGTGTCTTAGTCTTTTGTGTAAAATACTTAACAGCGAAACACAGCACATATTGTCCATTCGGAATTGCGGTCAAGTAGGTTTAAACAACTCTGTATCTCCAAATCTACCCCCTTATAATTGTCATTAACCGGAAAATTAGCAACTGATAGACCTCTCCTCTGAGTAGGCGTTGGCTATAAAAGGGAAACGTTTATTTCTATTTTCCACAAGATGACGATATACTTAGCAAATAATTTATTTGAATTGAGGCTCTGGGATTGTTAGATCCGATGGAAAACGCAAGACAAAGTTCTTAGTTCTTCTCATGCGAAAAACAATTTCTACTAATTTGACTTAAGTAGTTACATAACTTTTTATTCATTCACTTGACCAAGTTTTGCCATTTCTCAGGATCCGGAGGTGGTTGAGAAGTGCATTCAATCTGGTGCAGTGGCTGCTGGGGGAGCAGACATCTTGGGTCGTCTGGAAACGGGTGGTTTTCATTGGGATGAATATGATGATATAGTCGCCCATCCAGATTTCGTTGATTCCATCAACAAAGTACGAAAAATTCTTCAGAATCGAATGCCAAGCGTTAAAAATGGTGAGTTATTTTCTCAATTGTTACAAATTCGTTGTATTAACGTTATAGGTTATTTTAAGTTTGTTCTAACTTATAGTGCGCGCATTTTAATGTTGTAATTAAAGTGGTCAAAAATGTAAGATTTAAAGCTTTAATTCCTGAATTTAAGGATTCTTTATACATATTTACCACCAATGTCATCATTTATGCATACACTGTTTTTTAAGCATTTTACTTTTGACAAGTATGACAAAGTTGCAATTATTTATTTATTTCAAATGGCAGGCGTTTTGACAGATAT